GACCGACTTTCTATTAACCTCGGCATTGATCAAGTAATTCTTCGTATTCCCGTTGAGCAAACACGAGGTGTTACTATTCTTTATTCACGAATAAGCTGACGTTTCGGCGGATTTCGCCTTCCTCAGATCCGCTTTCTATGAGGTTTTCACTAAGTATGTCACGTAGAGACCAACCGCACAGAAATCACATGCAAGCATAATGTCTGAGATATTTGCAAAACTCCAGCCCGCAAGTGTCTGCGGTGGACGCTATTACCCTTCCCTTCAAACTTTATTTATTGCCCATATTCATGGCAGAGTATTATGTGAAATACAATGGCAACGGTGCTGAAATATGAGCAGAACTCGGGACCCTAGCTGGGTTTCGAACTTAGGATCATCCTTTTCTGAGACTCTCGTATTATCCACCACAGCAATCGAGGCCCTTAATTTGAGCTTCTCTTATGCTGCTCTTCACGCTAACGATAGCATTAGCAATCACCCTTCGAAGGAAATGATCTGCGGAGCGCAAATTGGCATTCAGTTAAAATGATGCTGTGCTCGAAATCAGAATGCTTTAACTTTTCATGTATTCATTTTCTGTTACTTGTTTATTTGCTTACTAATTTTTTATCTGTGGTTCCAAAAAGAAAAACAAATGATAACATTAGTTGTTGTTATGTGTTTGTGATTAGTGGCACTTCGGTGTTTGAACATCAAATTTGTTTTTTCCCTGTAAAGTTATATCTTTGCGCTAAAAATTTCACGCCTTAGAAATTTGTTCAGAAAAATCCTTCGCTCATTCATAGACTTGATTTCTTACAGACTTCATTTTCGTGCTTTTTTTAAGAGTCGTGGTGAGAGTTCCACAGCGTTTGAACAACAACTGAGGAAACTTTCGCTAAGCAACGAAGATTTTCGAGCAGTCATGAATGTTCATCGAAATTGGTATCTTTTATCATTAAAGGCGCTCATGGTCCAGATGGCTAAAGAACTACTTCACAAGATTGGCGATGGTAAGATGTTTTCACTAAGACTATGAGCACGCCACATTCATTTATGATGGAAAAGTGTACCAGAATTATTTTACGAAAGGGTAGAAGGACAGAGTGTTCAATATCGACTAAACTTTAAGAGATACGCCATACATTTAACTCCTTTCGTAACATCACAGTGGGGACTGAGTGCATATTTGGCCGCACAATGAGTTCAGGCGGCTTGTCGAAATATGAAGGCACTGAGTTTATTTTGGTTGCCAAGTCTGGTACAAATCTGCCAAGTTACGAAGGAACAGGGACTTGTTTTGCCGGAGACCTGAAATTGAGCCAAGAAAGCTGTGCGCGTCGCAGAGCAGCTCTAACCACTACACTGCAGTTAGTCTTTTATAAACAGTATAAAATGTACGCGTTGTTAAAAAATCTGATTGCGAAAAGCGGGGCTATTCTGTGGTCTCATACAAATGCCTAACGTTCAATTAAAATAGAAGGTAACGGTTAAATGAAGATGACGTCGTTTCAAAGAAAATCTGAGGTTAGATATTTTTGCCCTATATTTGCTGCGACACAAGAGATTTCTCTTGGCAAAGATGAAATCTGGCACCAGATCTTTAACAGAAAAGCAGTGAGTCTGATTTTTAAGTTATTTATTTTATTGGGTACAAGAAAAATATAAACGAATATCAGTGATATTTAGAATTTTAGTCATTCTTTCATATTAGCAAATTTTCATCAAAATTGACAAATTCAAGGGCACGCAATGAGTGTTGCTGTTAAAGACGATGTTATCCCTTGAAGGTTATCAAATTGGCACGGCGCTTGTCTAGAAAAAGCTCATTCGTTCCATAAATCCCAGCCGCAGTTTGCGGGAAGATGTACGGATGCTCTGGCAGTCCTAGTATAAGATTTTAAAAAATCAAGCGATTCGGTTAGAGTTAACAACATGCTTGAAAAAGAAAAAGTCATCAAGGGTGAACTAATGAATCAAAACGTGAATCCGTATGCCATCTCGTGTGACGGATGCGAACCTAGCGAAGGAAGTGCTAGGATTCGTCCAAAATGTGAGCTCAAGCCCCAATAGTAAATAAGCAAAAAAGTAAATAAATGGATAAAATATGTTTCCCAAATATGTAACGTTTCCCAAATCTTGGATTGATCAAAGGCTTTACTGCCTTCAGAGCTAATAAGGAATTGCAGAGCAGAACTGGGAGCGGCGGAGAATTGGAAATAATTGAAACGAAGTATTGCTTTGATTTATTATCTATAAGATGTTATCCATTTAGAAATGAAGCAACGGGAATGTGAGCAGTCGAGTAACTCCATTTATATCGCTGTAAACCAGAGTGGGTGCTGCTAGCACCTCTCTCATCGCTCCATGAACGGGCATGAGGAGCATCTGACACTTTGTATGATACGCTCGTTTCACTGTTTTTAAAGCAAATGAGGCTGTGCTGTAATATTTGCTTATTCTTAGCTGGACATTCCTTTGCAGATCATGCGCTCCTTTCCGCTATGCATAGTATAATATAAAAGTTCTAGCCCCGCGAATACTCCCAACTATTGGCGGTCGTAAGCGATTAAAAAGTTGTTCATGTTTTTAAACCAGAGACGATACACTTTATCTCTAGGCTGAAGCCACTGTCAAACATTACCGATGTTTCATCTTGCTGTCGATTTTTTTACACATGTTAAATGCTTTGAAAAGTTTCGCACTTGATTTGCGATAACACATTCAGCACGTGGTCAACGATTAAAACTGTGTCTCAAGCGTATTGTCGACATCATGGATCTGGAACGTACAGCCGTATGCCTTCTGAAGGCTAAAGAACGTCACAAGATGTTCGTCAAGGCCAAGAAGCACCTCAGGTCGAGCAAAGTAGCTTTCGGTTATCTATGAAATTACATGAGATTTTAACTTCGCTTAAACGATTTCATCTGACTGACACTATTTTGCTTTTAACTTTTATTACTATCGTTAAGTTGTTAACTTTAATGATGCTGAGGTATTTGCAAAACTCCAAACCGCAGGTGTCTGCGGTGGGGAACGAACGCACTATTGTCCTTTCCGGGGAGTAACGCGTTCACCACCATACCACGCGGGTCTTTCGTTTCGCCTGTCTCTCAGCTATGTTCTTATTTAAAAAAGCACCATTGCACTGCGGTTTTTTGTTGTTAATTATTCTGTTTGTAGTAACTGCCACGACCGACATTTCTATTAACCTCGGCATTGATCAAGTGATTTTCTTCGTATTTTTGTTGAGCAAACGCGAGGTGTTACTATTCTTTGTTCACGATTAAGCTGACGTTTCGGCGGATTTCGCCTTCTTCAGAGATTGGAAAGGTCAAGTTGATAGCAAACCACTCGGCCAGACGCCTCCATAACCAAACAAAGAAACTCCAAACCAAGATTTCAATCACTTTGAACACAGCTTTGCACACTCACCGCTTTCTATGAGGTTTCCACTAAGTATGTCACGTAGAGACCAACCGCACAGAAATCACGTGGAAGTATAATGTGCCCCTCACATCAGAAAAGCAGTTTTATATACTACCCTATATCACGCATGATAATGAGGCATTCTTCCCTGCGGTTCATTTTCGGATTTCTGGAATTAATCCAGAGTGCCTCGAGAGTTTTTCGCGCCTGTGTTCTTGATTCGCGTGCGAGGATCGTGACACATACTTCGAAGTCGTCCCCGTTATGTCTCTGGGTCCTATGCGTGCCTAGCGGGGTATTTGGTCTATTTTTGCCGGCCAGGTGTTCTTTTATGCGGACACAGAGGGGTCTACCCGTTTCGCCAATGTATTCGTCACCACACGTCTTACAGGAGATCAGATAAACTATACCCGAGCTCATGCAATCACCGTCTCTACCACTGGGGCAAATTATGCAATTTTGAGTTGCACATAGACGGTCATATAGGCGGTTACGAACAAGCTGGCGCTTAAGATTACTCGGTGGTATTTCAACTACACTCACCGAATTCTCTAAGCCCGCCCTTCTTAAGCAGCGTTTTATAGCTGTACTTATATCATTTGAGATGAAGGATAGGATTAACGGGACCCTTTTATCGCTAGAGTTGTCGTTTGGAGGCCTACGATTTCCTCTACACCTATCCTGAGCTACAGTTTCGTAGCCATTAGAAATGGCTATTTGCCGTGCCAAGTTCCGGGACTCCTCTCTCTGCTCTCTTCCCGTGCACACGTTGGTTGCTGTTCGAAACATGTTTCTTATAAGCGCCCTTTTCGTGTGAGAGGGGTGAGAGGAGAGGTAATGAACCAAGATATTTTTACTACTTGGCTTTCGGTACCACTTTGTAATGTAGCCATTTTCTGATAGGTGAATTTATTATTATTATTTATATTCTGTTTGTAACTATCTCCACACCGTATTCATGAAATGACCAGAGTTCAAGTACAAGTTCATCATTGTTTTTGACAGCTCAACTATTCAAGGTATTCATCGTATTCATTTCCCTACAATGCTTCTTTGCACAATCAAACTTTTAAAACCTCTAGAAACGCGGAAGATTTTTCCACTCTTTTTTGTTTAACTTCACATTCAACCAAGGCTTGGGCTCTCTATTAACTTTTGTTCCCCGTTTGACATACAGTGGGCAAAAATTTTTCACCAGCGCAATCTCTTTTAAATCACAGGCAGTAAAAAACGACTTTGTAAGTTTAATCACTATTTTTATTTTCAGGAAGAGAAATGATAAAACGGAGGCGTTCCACCAAATGCCAATGAAAACCCATAGTTCAACGAAAGGTATACAGATGTTGAATGCCAATGGAAAGAGAACTGCAGAAAATGCACCTCCATACAGTTTTCACAGGATTATGCTGAGTACAGCAAGAAGGTCTAGAAGGATTGGATTAAGTGAGCAGCAGAGACGCACCAAGCGAAGTTCGCACAGGATGATTTCGCTCAGTGAATTGAGCGCGAAATCTAATCGGCCCAAGGTTTTCTCCGCAAACCATTCATATTCCATGATTCCGTAAACAGCTTGCGAGTTGTTTCAGGTGATGAAACGTAAATCCTTGCCGCCTCTTCTGCCTCCAGTTCCAAAAAGCCCTGCGTACAGCCTGTCTAACCTCTTCGCTTCGTTATTCGGCAAGGTGCCAGCAGGTGATCTACAAAAGAAGTGGTCCACCACCTACAGTAAAATGCTGGAACTTTCGGAAGTTCTCGAAAGAAATGAAAAGTTGCCAGGAGCGCGGGTGTACAACATGCGTGCGTACGATCTCGTCATGGATAGCGACAAGAATAAACCGCGGAAAGCGACTCAGGTCTGAGATCATTTTGTATTACAAATGATGGGATTCTTTGGTAGAATGAGGAGTAGAGAGCTCACCACTTCGTATACCACATCCTACCAATTCTGCAACTTATTACATGATTTATGATCGTCGGAGATAACTTTTGATTAAATCGAAACGCTTCCAACTCTTTGCATGTTACATTAACGTTGTTTGCCTTTGTTTTCAAGGTACGAGTTCTATTATATTATAACAAATAGGTGGTGCCATTTCTTTCTCATCATTTGACATCACATATTGTGCAGATCAGAAATGTGTTCTTTGCATCCGAATTGGTTCCTCTCACCCATCATCACCCACGAAAGCCTTCGAACTTTCTGCGTGTGGCTACGGCTCCTGTTGATGATTTTCATACTCGTTATGAATACTGTTGAATTTTTGTGCAACAGGTTCTCTCTAGAATCGAAAATCTTAGGATTGCTGTAACAGAGGATTCGAGTGAGCGAACTGCTTGCAAGGAATTCTGGCATCAATTTCCTAACCTTAGAGGGATAGATTGTATGGACCCAGGTGTAAGGTCGGACCAGTGCCTTGATAGTTTTAGGCCTTGCTCATAATAAACCAAAGCCCGCCCTGCCCACCATCTTGTGATTATGATGACGGGGTGTGCGTGCTATTATGCAAAATATTCAAACCCACTAATTTCCACCTCCTCATGGTGCGTCACCGGATGCTGTATGATGCTTAAAGTTAGGTCATAACGGTACCAATTAAATTCCATAGTATGTAGTAACATAAAGGAAATCAGCTTTCTTCACGGTACACAATTTTGTTACGTCTTCGTATGTAAAGCGACACATTTATAACCGACTGATGTGCGTGAAAACTTTAAGGCAGATTGCAACCTTCTGGACTCCTATTTGATCAAAAGAATGAGATCAAATGACTGGTTACTAGATGTGATGACTTCTAATGTGTGTACCAGCGCCAATATATCTTGTATCTATTTTGAATGCTACTGATGCATTTTTTTATACGATGAAAGAATGGAACTCACTTTTCTGGTCACGAATAAACTGCAGATAATAGGACGTGGGATAGACCGAAAGTAGGTGGGATAGGTCCAAGGCGATGATCTGTGCATTTGCGAACGAATGCTCCCATAAAGTCATCCATTCACTACCCCCCACCACTGGACATTGAAAACGTCACAAGCGACGATATTGGTGACCTGATCAAGATAAGGACTTCAAATGCCGTTCAGGTTATTGCTGAAGGTTTATTCCGTATGACATGAAAACCTTACAGTGAAATAAAGTGGTTAGTGTTCTTAACATTTGGCCAGATATAAATATTCTATTAATCAGTTAACGAGCTGAATCATTCGTTAATGGTGGAAAGAAACTAAGCCAAAACGTTCTTTTACTCCCTTTACTGCTTTTCGCCTATTTGTCAAATTGGCAATATGCATTTGTCTGAAGAACAGGACCTTGGCATGTGAAGATAGAAATGGCTCAAATAAGGTAAAACACCATTTGGGATCGTCATGGATCAGCAGAGTGTTAGTAGTGGCTGACAGTTCCACATGTGGTTGCGTGACGCTGCTTACCCTGCAGCATTGTCAACCACCGGGAATTTGCAAACTATATAGAAACGCAGCAAAATTGTTTTACATGATAAAGAGCGAATGAATTACAATGTATGGACGCAGTAGTCATTGCATTTAAAATGGAAAAAGTGTGCACAACTTTTACTTCGCCCTCTTGGATTGTCACATCCATTTTTTTTCATGCCACTGATATGCTCCCTCAACTGTTTTCTCTTTCCAAAATTCAACAAGTTGTCCCATCAGTTGTGAGCTGTACGACAGCCGGTCTTAATGGACTCAGTGTGGACCATCGGAAAAGTCTCGGAACGAGTTCAGTATGATGAGTGGTTTCTACTAGATAGGAATATTACAACGATGTTACAAGTGCCGTCTTTCTCTCACTATAATCGACTTGAACAAAAACTACTCTTTATTCAGACAAAAAATATGATCTATAACTCAATGAAACGGATCCGGTCATTTAAGTCTTGGAACACCAAGACACCCATGCCACTTGGGCTTAAGAAATTAAGTGAGACTTGTACGAGTGCATCACAATGAGAACAATGTATAAGAGCCGTTAGTGACTTCTACCACAGGATTTGAAGTGCATAATAGTAGGATAGAAGACCAACGTGCTGCAGAAGAAAGTATAGTAATTTCAGTGTCGTTTAAGGGACCAAAGCCACTGGGTAATTCTGACAGTTAAAAGGGACGATTTGAGGAATACCGGCGTGTGTGAGAAGGGACCAATTATCGTCGAAATAGCAGATCATATTCAGGATTTCGTCTTCTTTTTTTAAGTGTTTACATTGGAAAATGCAGTGATCACGGATATTTAACACAAGTGCGCTATCAGGTCTTCGCCTTGGCTCAGCTATATTCTGATTAAGTGTTATTCTTGTCGTAGATTTACGCAGGAATTTAAAAGCAAAAAAGGAAAGTAAGTAGAACTTCTGAAATTCCACCAGAAAATGATGCAAATTTGAAGGTGTTTGTTGTCTAATGGTGCGTAGTGAAATCAGTCTTTAAACATTTTATTCTACTTTTCCAGAAGTATGCACCACCCGAACTGAAGACGATGTTTGATTTTGTGAACTCCTTCGATGGAGAGCCGTCTTCGCGGTTTCTCAGTCCACGAATCGCTCCTTTGATTCCAGAAAAACGGCAAACGAAAGGATTTTTGTCGCCTTCGCTATTTCCATTCTATAAAGATAACACCGAAGAACAAATACTGCCGATTCCTAAGGTAAGAATGTTACGGTTCGAACTTTTCTCAGGATTTCTGGTTGATGCAATATAGTGTTTTGCTACCAATTCTCAAAGTTATGGGAGGATTTTAAGCCTTTCTTTTGTTGCTTGTAAGTTTTAACAGTTTTTCCATAGTGTACTAGGCAGAGAATATTTTTATAGACTGTATCTTCCTGCCTCAGCCAGTGCCATCGTACCTTACTTTTTCAGCCTGCATTACCTAGTAACCTGAAGAAAAAAAGTTTAAGTTAAGTTTAAAGTTTATAAAAGAGCATTGCTGGATGACCATGCCCCATTCGTGCAAAACTCCACTGACGACAAGATCCGTCTCGGTGTAAATACGAAAACCCCACATAGAACAACTATGGACCATCTACTCGGATCATCGGCTCTGATGAAGACGAAGACGTCGAAACCTTAGCCGAATAAAAGTTGGTTATCAAATTCGTGTAAGCTCAACAATTTTGAACATGCTGATTATTTTGCTACCGAGTTTAAATGAGGGCTGGTTTGAAAATTGCTTTAATGTCTATAAGTTGTAATTTAATGAAAAGTTTTTAAAAAGTTTTCGTTATTTCTCATCATTTGATTTAAAACCAAGAAAGTGCAAATTTATCGATAAAGAGTTTGCTAAGTTTAATAGGGAAAAATAAACACCATCATGTAGTTTGCGTCTGCCTAATTAAGCACCTATTCATAGTTTTTCATCTAGGACTAACATTGGTGAATAGTTCTACCACTTCGTGAAAGCTAACAGCCTCTTTCTTCTTTTGCTCTCTTACCAAATTTTTCTTCTTTATTGAGTTTTCTTTTTTATTATTCGAATAGAGCAAGTTCACATGCTGTTCACTTGATTGTTCACATCGACGGTTCTTCAATGTATGTTTTTGCACAGACCCTAAGTCCGCAACTTGGTGAGGAGGGATTTCGATTCGAGCTTGGTGCTCATCGTGAATAAAATATTAGCTTACGTCTCAGCTTCGTAGCAATACACTGGAGAAATAGTTGATTTCATGCACTGAGCAGAAGGATCCACTTCCATTGGACTCTCGTGAGATCAGAAGAAACCCAAGCATCTTTTGAATGACGCATGCTCACCCGGCGACACTTTTTTTATACAGGTTTCTGGTTTCTGGTAATATTGATTGTCCGGTGATAAAAGTTCTTTCTTTTAAAATTTTAAGTTTTAAAATTTTATTGTCGGAGAAGGTTGGTAGCTTTATACATTCTTGTCATGCGTTGCCTACAAGTGATTTAGCACTTTATAATGATTTAGAATTGTTTTCATCTTTGATTATTTTTTAAGAAAACCAAAAACAAATTTTTTTCGTCCACGGGTTCATAACTTAGAATCTTGGGTTTTTGGAACGAAGTCACGGTTCCGAGAGCTACTTCGGAATGATGATGCGACTTCTTTCAAACATTCACCTAGTTTGCTTATGAGAACGTTGTAGATCTACGTAGTTGTATCGCTAGGAATTCTTTTCTGCTGATTAGCAGTAAATTTGCTTTCATTCTCAGTCGTCCAATACATAATGAAACGGCGGTAATGCTTCACTTCAGTAGGCTTCATCATTTGTATGGACTGATAATTGCAAAAGTTTGAAAAAGTTTGTAAATCCAAGTTAGCCATGCGTGGTGACAGCATAACCATAAATAAGATAAACCTATGGGCAAGCGAATGGATATACAACAAAGCTTCCACCATTAGAGCTTCATAGCCGAATTTCAGTAAACGGTATTTGTAGAACAGATTAACATATGCAGCTCTGCGATTGGATATCTTGCTTTTAGTAGGATAACAGCATCCAACACCTTTGTTGGACAATCGTTTGGAAAATTTCCTTAGCTTTAATAATCTTGTCAGAGGATAGGCATCTCTTCTAAACATTGCTGGTACAATGAATAGGTGAGGAAAAAGGTTAAAGGATAAAGCGTTCGGCGTTGTCCAATCCCAGAGCAGTGGGTAATGAATTCGGCTTCATCAGTCCTCGTTATAAGTGGCTGAATGAACATCTGGTCTATACAATAACTTGCAGTGGCCTATCGATATATCAAGCAAGCGCTGCTATTCTCTGGTCTCAACTTGTCTACCCTGAAAGAACGAAGCGCAAGCTTGGTGGGAACGCGATATCGGATCGAACAAAAGAGCAAAAGTGTACTACAGGGCACCTCTAACCACTGCGCTACACATGCTTCTAAGAAAAAGCATTAAACCATAGAGTAATTAGCAATAAACAATAAAGGACTCATAAAGGCATAAAGGATAAGGCTCTCGGTGTTGATCAATCCCTGAATGATGCACCAAGCATTCGACATCATTAATGCTCGTCGGACGTGATTAAATGCTTATCTGGCCTTTACAGTGACTAGCGGTGGCCTACCAATGTTCCATTCCAGTGCTGCTATCCTTCCAGACAAGTCTGGTACCAATTCGTCGACGCCGGAGAAATGGAGGGCTTGGTGGGCCTGGGGCGCGGGATCGATTCCATGTGTATTGCAGGGCGCACTCGATCACTGCGCTATACGGCCCCCAGAGGGCTTATAGTGAGTAAAAAAAGTCGTCCTAGAAAATTCATGCCTAATACTTCCGTAGCATACATTGCCTGTCTAACTTCTCGATGCTAAATAAATTTTTATTCGTTGTGTACGATGAAAATTTTATGTCCCATTGGCATATTAACAAATTGTATCCTATTTTTCTAGGTGCTAGAAGATGTTGGCCTGAAGGAAAAAGACCGAGAAAAAGTGCTTCATACCATCATGGAGGTTACAGGTGCTCGAGAAACGATGGACAAAGCGATGGTGGTGAGACACCAAGCATTAAAACGTTTCTTAGGATGATCACGCACTATTATACCTTATCTAAATCGGATCGACAACATAGGAAAGTACAAGCATTATATTGCTTGATAATTAAAAAGCATTGCTTTCCTTCTCCCGTAACTCTCTGGGGGTAGTAAGGGGGTAAGAAGTGGGAGGGGTGCGAGAAGTTTAATCATAATCAATCGTCTCTACTGTTAATGTAATGCTGGCATGCTCGCATTAATCAGTCGATGAAATAAGCAAAAATCCGAGTGTATTCAGAAACAATAGGTTTTCTACTAAGCTATGTATTAGAAATGAAGAGGTTTTTCAGATGTTTAAAAAGCAATAATAGTTTTGCAGATAACGCGAAGATAAAATGTGGCAATTTTTTAGGTTTTAGAGAACTTGAATTCGTTGGAACTGGGAGATAAGATATTGTCTGCTACTGAAAAGGTAAGCCTGGTTGATCCGAGCATTTTCATCATTGCTTATATTTACTAACTTTTATGGTAAAGTGTGCAGATCTCGTATCAGGATCTACTCGCTTATGTTTCGGTGAGTTCTCAGTAGATCGGATATTACTAATGTTGTAAACTATCGATGTGGTCTTCGTGAAAATCTCTGATGATAAAGGAGAAATTAAGTGGTGAAGGCACTCAAGTGTCCACTTGACACCTTGTTGAGGTTAAAACTGGTGGCTTTCTCAGGATATTCTGCTTAGCTTAAAGTTTTCTTTCAAGGCTCGAGTGTTGTTTTATGTAAAAGCTGACACTCATCATCATCTTTATTGACGGGAAACTATTATGGCTCTTGCCATTTACTTAGGTGCGGGAAGCCCAAAGGCTTGAGATGGCGTGCAATACAGGATTTGTTCGTTCTTTGACCTTGCACCGGAGCTTTTCATCACCTTAGAATCGAGAAATTGGTACCGGCCAACTATGAGGAAAGACACTTTGATCCAAAAGTGCTATTACCTCAGGTTGGCTAATAATTGGAAGCGCTCTAACGCAACTGTCATGAGATTCTAGTGCAAACCTGTTCAACTGGAAGTCAAAGACACTTATGAAGAGGACAATGTCCTGAACTGACACATATCTTACACCTGATTCCGAAAACCTTAGTGGGCGAAGTGGGAGACAGATTCAACACAACGAACTTCGTAAAAAAAATATTAAAACCTGCGAAGTTTTTAGTTATGTCATATAAATAAAAAAAGAGCAAAATAGCTACTTAGCCAGTGCAATTAAGTTTACTGTGGTAGAATACCGCATTACTTAAAATAATTCAGTGTCAGGTTGCCTGCCAAGGATTCTAAAACTTAAGTGAAAGGTAAAACGTGGAATCGAGGTTATGGATATCTTCTCCATTTGGTCTTCCATAACGCTTTCCTAGCATCCTCTTTGATTTGGGAATCTATCGTTCCACACTGTCCAACTCTCGTCCAAGGTTGTTAACTGCGTAGACTGTCTCAGGGAAGGAACTAGCAATGTCCTCCACTCGGTTTAAGAACGAAATCGATCAGAAGATTGCTTTCCATAAAGATTATTTTATTCAGTTGCAAACGGATTTCTGAGCATGAGTGTATTATAACGAATTTCAATTTAAGGCAAGAATTTTCAATTGTGACTTCATAGTATCTTTCTTCACTGCCGAGACATTGACTTTTTTGGCTTGAAAGATCTACACAGACACCTACCGTGTGAGTTAGGGAACGACGAATGACTGGTTGTTTGTACGTCGATGTTTACACTTTGTTCAACTTCTTTGAATTTGAAATACTACTCTTCTGTTCCAAGAACATGTTGCTAACCCCGGTAACTGGAAGGCGGTTTTTATTCACATAAGAATTATCGCAAAGTGCAAGATCATTTATGTGGGAGCCACTACACGCATCAATCCTGCATTGCTTTAATGTTGTTCTGTTGAAATATTTTCCTTAATTTTTCAAAAATCATTTCTATCAACTCATTTTTTGTGTTATGCGCTGAACTCTTGAACTAACGAATATATGCTCTAAGGTCGGAAGGAGTTTCGAGGAGTTACAAGCCTCCTTCTCAAATTATCAACGTGACGAAATGGATAGAAGAGGCTTCACTTTTATGGAGCCAAACCAAATACGAAAATTTCACGAAGAACAAGGTTGTTGAGCTACATTTTAGGAAAAAAATTCATTCTCTAGACAACAAATACCGGAGTATTTATAAGCTCCAGCGGTAAAACTAGCACTGATATTGACACCGATAATATTTGACAGAAGAAGTTCCTCTTTAAATAGTGTGCTTCCGTTGTTGGTAAAATTTCCTGGCAATCAACTAAACTCAGTCGAGAGCTAAGACTAGATGCTACGCTTTGTAAAAATCTCTTATGTATATCCCACGACCGACTTTCTATTAACCTCGGCAGTGATCAAGTAATTCTTCGTATTCTTGTTGAGCAAATGGCACATTAGGTTTCCATGTGGATTCTCAGCGGTTGATCTCCACACGACATACTCAGTGCATAGAAATGTGCCTCTGAGGAAGGAGAAATCCGCCGAAACGTCAGCTGGTTCGTGAATAAGGAATAAAATAACACCTCGCGTTTGCTCAACAACAATGCGAAGAATTACTTGATCTTATGTATACGTTTTAAAAAACCTGTTATAATACCTTTGGTGAAAATGAAAGTAAGTTGAAATCATTAACTCTATAAGAGCAGATATGTGACTGTTTCAAATCGTCCTTTAGGAATAAATGATCCTGAAGTCAAGGCAATGCTGAAAGAGTACGATGTAATGCCCAGAGTAAACCGTGAAGAAGCCCTTTGGGAAGCGATTGGAAAAATCGCTGGCAAAATGGTAGATGTTTTAGATTGCCTGTTGATGTGAATTTAGCTTCCGGTGTGAAAATGAATCGAGCATTTTCAGCACCGCCAAAAACGACAACTCAAAGCACTGCAACCATCATTTCTTAGTCCTGCAATCTTCACTCCAGTATATGGACCTTCAATACTCGGCCCAGTTGCGCTTTCACCAAGTCTTTTCTCGCCGGTCTTTCTGGCACCGAATGTTTTATCACCAGGCGCTCTATCACCGGGTATCGGGAACCCAGTTTTTCTTTCACCATTCGTTCTTTCACCCGAAGCTTTAAGTCCATCCGGTCTGGCCGCTACCGTTTTGTCTCCGAATGCGCTATCACCGAGTATTCTCAATCCATCCTTTCTTACTACATCTATTCTAAGTCCATTCGCACTCTCACCTTCTATTCTTTCACCATCGGTGCTTGGCGCTTCGGTGCTTTCACCAAATGCTTTTTCACCAGATGTTCTTTCTAAGAGTTATCTCCATCAAAGTGTACTGTCTCCAAGCTTTATGTCGTGACAATAATAAGGAAAATTAATAGAAATGTTGCACAATGAAAAAGTAAAGAAGTGAAATAAAATAAGATACGATTCGCCTCTGCATGAAATCATTTCTTGTTGCGTTCATCTTTGGTTATAAGCACCACACTTTATTTTCAAGTTTTTAATGATTGGAGCTGCGGGAAAGGCAAAGACAACACATTAGAATGAGTTCATCTTGAAAAAAGTTGATTCTCAAAAATTAGGAGAAGATTGCTGCCGTTTTCGTTGAAAGAAACATGATTGCAAAAATCTGTTTAGAACATCTCAACGCCGTTGATAAAAGTAAGTGAACGAATTTTGGATTAAAAACAGTATTGAGAATAGAGACGAATTAGAAAACAAAAATAAGGTGTGATACAATAGCTAGTTCTATCGATTCGTGCCATCAGCAATCATCCATCAGCGGGATTGATCTAGGGAGTTCAAATCAGCAACAAACCCAGTTAAGCTGAGGCTGTAGTTATAATTACAATGTTAACTTTTTATTTACCGCCTGTTACAATTTTTCATGGCGGGCTATTACCTGTGATACAATGATGCTGAGATATTTGCAAAACTCCGGACCGCAGGTGTCTACGATGAGGAACGAACGAGCTATTGCCCCTTGAGCATTCACCACCACACCATGCCGATCCATTGTTTCGCCTGTCTCTCAACTAGAAAATAAGGTATTCTATAGAAGTTTGGTTACAGCCTCTTACGTCGTTCTTGATCGAAAGAGTTTATTTATGTTCATCCATCTCTTGATATTGCTGGACTAGTTACCAAGGATGAATGCTTTGAAATTAGTTACATTTTACGAGTAGAGAACTTCTTAAAGGGTCAAACACTTTATTTGAAAATCGACTTAATGAAAACTCTGAGTATAAATCTGTGGCTGTCTCTTTTAAATTCATATATGTCTTTTATTGAAAATTCCGTAACGTATATACCGCGGTAGTTAGTCAGTAATCATTAGGAAAATCACTAACAAGACCGTTAAGAATCATTAAGAAAGACTTTGCTTCAAGCATGTTTAAAAACCACGAAATTTCAATTAAGAGCGTTAGTTTTAATCTTAGCTTAGCTTCCGTTTGAAAATCTCGAGCTGCTTGGGTGGCAGTGGTAGAGATTATGGTAGATCACCTCTGTTCATCACAGTTCATTGCCCTGAACTAGGAATTAGTCGCACACCAGGAGTGGTAATCGCTTGGCGGTCGTGGGAATGTAAATATACAGAACTGTTCAAATTGTCGTCGTTCAACGTTTCTAATGCAGTCATTCTCCTTGAAATGCTTCTCTTGAACTCCATACTGGAGCCAAGGGTGTTTCCAGAAATATTACATTCGTTGAATACAGCAATGAAGATGTTAAGATATGAGTATTACTTGGCGTCTGAACTAAACTTTGAATCCACGATAACTCTTAAGGGAGGCTCACAACCATCAACGGCGCAAACCGAGGCCTTTGCTCTGCCTCTCTCTGCCATGTTTTTATTCTATCGGTGCTATTAACAATCACCCGTTAAAAGCAGTAATCTGGGGACCGCAAATCTTCATCCGTCCCAGTTAAGCCAAAGCTGCAGTTGAAATCAAGATATTTACTTTTTCATTTACTACCTATTATTCTTTTCATGGCAAAGGTATTGCGCGAAACAAACAGAGTGATGCTGAGATATCTTTAAACCGACTTTCATTAAACCTCATTAACAACAACCAATAATTTTTCATATGATTGAGCTTAGACGAGGTTACCCTCTTATACCCAACATTGAGTGAATTTTCCATTCAAGCTGTGCTCATTTCACTAGTTTCTCCTCGATGCGACAACAAACACCCATATCGGGACAATGACTAGCCATGGGCCATCGACTCGGATTAAAGCGGCTTTGAGGATGGTGAGAAGGCAGAAACGGTCGACGGTAAAATTTTCCATACTAAACCATATTATTTCCAACAACGATTTCCTACTAACCACGACATTGATCACATAATGCATTATATTCTTAATGGGCAAGCACGACGTGTTACTTTATTCTTAATACGGAAAAGTGGACGTTCCGGCGGATTTTGCTTCCTTCAGAGCATACAAAAGTCATGTTGTCTGCAAACTGCCAACCAAACATCTCCATAACTAAACAGAGAAGATACCAGAATAAGATTTCAGTCGCATTGAAAACAAAATGGCTTTGTCGTGCACTCAATGCATTCTGTGAATCTTCCACTGAGTATTTGACGTGGAGATAAGCCTCACAGGGGTTGATGGAGATGTTTATTCGACTGTTTCGTCGTCCTCGCCTTCATCGGAGCCGAGGATCCCAGACGGTGGTCCACAGTTTTTCCTCATCTCAATGTGGCTCCCTCGTCTTCGCAACGAGCTGGATTCTCCTCAGTGGAGCATCTCTCTCGAATGAGCCACACTCACCCACCGATGCTCTTTTATACAAGACGATTGTTGTTGATATGAATATCAGTTGATAATGACTTGTTTTTAAAGGGATATCCCGCCCTGCATCAGTCGGTATTTTGTTAGCTAGCACATAGCGAATAGTAAAACAATTATTTTGAAACCGACCGTCATTTGACCTCGGTGGCAAAATGATCAACATGTTTATATTGTTGAGCTCACACGAGGTTGATAGAGATGTTTATTCGGCCAAAGTTTCAACTGCTGCAGTTTGCAAGAATATATATGCATAATGCATAAATGTATGTAAAAAAAAACATAGACGTGATCGTAAGTGATCACAAGACACTTTTACTTGCAGTTTATTCTTGGATTTTTGAAGTTTATCCAAAAAGCTTCAAGAGTTTTACGCGCTGACGGTCTGGATGTGTGAGGAAAGCGGCTTTTATTTCAAAATCTTCTCCACTATGCTTCTGATTCCTAACGCGCCTAGTGGAGGAGTATTTTGATTAACTTTACGCTTGCCGCCTAGTTTTTCTCTTATATACAAATGCAGAGTGCTCTAGACGTTTCGCCAACGTGTTCGACTCTGCACGCTTTACAAGAGACCGGGTACACCGTGCCCAAACTCATCAAAACCGGTCCTGCCGTTGGGCCATATTATGCAATTTTGCTTTGTGCACGGGCGGTGATATAAACGGTTGCGAACTATCTGGCGTCTGAGAGTGTTCGTTGCCAATTCAATCATTGATGCTGGATTCTGCAGAACGACTGTTTTTAAGTAGTATTTCATAGCTGCACTGGCTTTGTCAGAAATGAGGGCGAGGAGGGAGGGAAAAAATGGGACGTTATTCTCGCTAGAATTATCGCTTGGAGGCGTGGTTTTCCTTCTACACCTGCTCCGAAGAGCTGCAGTTTTGTGTCCAGTCAAAATAGCTATTTACCGCACAAATTTCATGGATTAGGGCATATTATACAACTGAGCGTTTAGAATAGACGGTCAAACAAAAGGTTACGAACTAGCTGACCTCCTAGAGTGTTCGGCGGTATTTCAACAACAGCCACAGACTTATATAGACGGGTCTTTATAAGCTATGCTGTATGGCTACGCTTATTTCATTTGAAATCAAGGGCAGGAGACGCGGAACTTCATTTTCCGTAGGCTTATCTTTTTTCCACTTGCTTTTTTTTCTATAAACCAGCCCCGTGTGCTGTTTCGTATCCATTGGAAATGGCTATTTCTCACACGAAGTGCGGAGGTTCTTTCTTCTGCTTTCTTCTTGTGCACACATTGGCTGCTGAGCGAAATATGTTTCTCGCAGGTAACAGTGCATGAAGAGTGAGAGGAGATGTACTGAACCGGTATGTTTTTGTTACTTGGCCTTTGGTACCATTTGGTGGTGCAACTGTTTTTGGACAGGTTGATGCGAGCGTTGAGGAACAGAAACCGTTCCTTTTTCACCATCTCTCGGATGAAATTTAACATCGATGGATTAACAATTTAAAAACACTTTGACCATCTCCTCTTTTGTCGAACAGGTGGCAAAACAATCGTCGATACACCTACAGCAAAAAAGTGGCTAGAGACTGAGTATGGCGACTTCAACATTAGACATATAGAAATGATAGGGTTTTATGTCAATCGCTCTTTCATTGCCAACACCCTCCTTGGACGTAATAATTTTCCAGGCCTTGGACCAAAACTTCGATCTCATGCCAGATTCGAACCAGTGATTAACCTCTCCTGATGCTCACGTGTTACCCACTGCTTCACTGACGCCGTTGCTTTGCCGTTTTCTCAGTTAGTCTTTTACTCTAGGGATGCCATCAGCAATGGCCTGTCAACGGGAATGACATGGGCAGCAGAAATCGGTATTCATCCCGGTTAAACTAAGGCTGCAGACGAAACCAAAATGTTTAACCTTTTATTTGCTGCATATTATTTTTCATGGCAAGGTTTTGTATGAAATACAACCACAATGATACTGAGATATGTGTTTAAATTGTTGAGCTTACACGAGGTTGTTGTATAGTTTTTATTCGGCTAACGTTTCGACATCTTCGTACTCATCAGAGTCATATGTGAATCACATGTTGATTAGTTATACCGAGATTAAAGGAAAGTTGGTTTTGAAATATTGTTACGTCCTTTGCCAGTTAATAATGACACCGACTTCTGCAGGATGGACTGTTCTGAGAAAACAAGTTATTATAACCGGATGGTCACTACTATCAACAACCAGCATCCTCTACAAAACGGCATCTTCGGTTGAGTATGCTTCATTCAAAGTGTTCGATTAAGTGGACTGAGTGCCAATTTGCCTCTTCCAGAGCCTAAAGAATGAAAAAACTATCGAACCGCCAGGTGTCGTGTTAAGTAACTTTTGCTGTAAATAGCCCGTGCTTGCTCATCAAGAAGACAGTGAAGCATAATGATTTCACACCAGTAGACCTGATGATGACTTCTTCCTCCATTTCCTTGGTCATGTTTTTAAATTCCACAAGGAACTTCCCAAAACGAAATCGTTGCAAATTTTTCCCATCTGCTTGAAAATCACAGAAAAAATACGGCTTTGAGGAATGCGAAGGGTA